CTCTATGCTGTTTTCCATAGTGGCTGCACCAATTTACATTCCTACCAACCGTGCACCAGGTTTCCCTTTTCTTCACATCCTCACCAGTATTTGTTATCTCTCGTTCTAACAGGTGTAAGATGATATCTCACTATGGTTTTCATTTGTACTTCCCTTATGATTAGTAGTGTTGAGCACCATTTCACGTACTTATTGTCCGTTTGTATGTCCTCTTTGGAAAAACCCTCTATTCAAGTCCTCTGCCCATTTTTAAATTGGATTGTTAGTTTTTGGGGCTACTGAGTTGTATGAGTTCCTTATATATTTTGGATTAACTTCTTATCAGATGGATGGTTTGCAAATATTTTCTCCCACTCCATAGATGATTTTTTCAGTTTGTTGATTGGTTCTTTTGCAGTGCAGAAGATTTTCCATTTCATGTAGTCACACTTTTTGTTTTTGCTTTTGTTGTCTGGGCTTGTTGTGTCATATCCAAAAATATCATTGTCAAGACTGATATCAAAGAGCTCTTTTCTTATGTTTTCTTCTGTGAGTTTTATTGTTTCTAGTCTTATGTTTAAGCCCTCAATTCATTTTGAAATTTTTTTTTTTTTTTTTTTTTTTTTTGCAGTATGTGGGCCTCTCACTGCTGTGGCCTCTCCCGTTGTGGAGGGAAGCCCTGAATTAATTTTTGTGAGTGATGTAAAATAGAGATCCAGTTCCACTTTTTGCATATGAATATCCAATTTTCCCAACACCATTTATTAAAGAGAGTTTCCTTTCACCATTGGGGATTCTTGGCTCCTTTGTCAAATATTAGTTGACTATATCTGTATGGGTTTATTTCTGCACTCTTAATTCTGTTCCCTTGGTATATGTCTATTTTTATGCCATACTGTTTTGATTACTATAACTTTATGAAACAGTTTGAAATCAGGAAGCATGATGCCTTCAGCTTTGCTCTTTCTCAAGATTGCTTTGACTATCAGGGTCTTTTGTGGTTCTAAATGATTGCTACAATTGTTCTTTTCTATTTCTGTGAAAAATGCCATTAGAATTTTAAAAGGAATTGCATTAAATCTGTAAATGGCTTTTGGTAGTATGAAAATTTTAACAGCATTAATTCTTCTGACCCATGAATATGGGATATTTTTCCACTCACTTGTGTCTTCAATTTCTTTCACCAGCATCTTACAGTTTTTGGTGTATAAATATTTCACTTCCTTGGTTGAATTTATTCCTAAATATTTTATTGTTTTTGATGCTATTGTAAATGGGACTGTTTTCTTTATTTCTCTTTCTAATAGTTCATGTCAGTGTATAGAAATGCAACTGATTTTTGTATGTTGATTTTATATTTTGAAACTTTACTGAATTTGTTTATTAGGTCTAGCAATTTTTTGGTGGAGTCTTTGGATTGTCTATATATAAGACCTTTTACTTATAAACTTTGGAATAAGCTTTTTGTGTTCTTTAAAGTTCTGCTAAAATTCTAAGTTAGAATTGAATTTAATTGGTATATTAATTTGTGGGAAAATGACAAATTTACAATATTAAAATATTCAACCATGAATATGGTGTTTTCCCAATTATTCAGATCATCTTTATGCCCTTCACTAGAGTGGAAACAAGATTTAAAAGGCATCACCTAAATTACCAAAAAAAATTGATTTAAGGATATATTTCTCTCAAGTACTTTTTACATATCTGAAAAACTAAAAGCTTATTATCTCCAAGAAATAGTGATGTCTGAAATCATAAATAAGTTAGAATATTCATCCCCTAGTCAGTTAAGTGAAACTGAAGGCGTGGCCGAGTACATGCTCTTTGAGGCTAATATCATGGAAGAAAATCCTGCCATCTGATATTATACTCTCTGTTCTATTATCAGGTAGAATTATGGGCTTCATATTCAGAATTTTGTGGTCTGATTCAGAGAGGTAAATATTAGGCAAATGGGAGATTGTCCTAAGACCTTGGTCTTTCAAACTGTATTCACCTGAAGAAAGCAGGCATGAATAACTCTGAAAATAGAGCTGCAAGAGAACATGTTTCTTAAGAAAAAAAAAATGTCACTCACTGAGTAAAGGAAAGAGAAAGGGTACATTAAAAAATCGAGCCCCTCTCTGTTGAAAATCCATTGATTCTGTAGCTAAGATACAGAAAGAAGAACTAACTTTCTGAAATGTTCAAAATCCCAGAACTCATCTATATTCACTGTATTACTAGTCAGTGGTAAGAAATACATTTTTCCCTCGCTTATTCTTCCAAAGTACTCCTATTCCAAGTGTCATAAACTACATACTACTTCCCTCTAAGTTTTCCTCACAGTCATTTACAGCACTGAAGGACATTTCCACTGTGTCCTGAAGCCACTACGTAATTTCATGCACTTGCTTAAGTTCTTCCTTCTGTTTGGACAACCCTCCCTTTCCACTGTGCCTCCTATCAACCCAGTGAACTCTTAGTCACTCCTCAAGGCCCAGCTTAAATATTATCTCCTCTCTGTAGAGTTACCTCATCTTCCTATCCTCACAGAGAGAATTAATTGATCCTTCCTTTGTGCTCCCAAGGTCCTTAATATATTTCCCTACTGTGATATATTTCCCACTATCTCACTGAATTTTAGTTTACCATTTAAATTAGTTAATATACATATAAAGTTCTTAAAATGGTGCCGGACACGTGGTAACCGTTACATAAGCACTAGCTATCATTATAGTTAACACTGTTATTGTTGTCATTACTGTTTGTATATATGTCTCCCCTATCAGCACTTGACATTTCTCAAGGGCAAGGACAACATCTCATTCATTTTCATTTCCCCAGTGCCTGGCACAAGATGTAGTATACAATAGAAATTCAAAAAGTATTCACTGAATTAAGTTTCCTTAGGACAGTGGGAACTGTCATATCCAAAGCTGGAGCATGATGCTGACTCTGACCTTTCTAAGCTTATTCATCTTGAGCTAAACCTCTGGCTGCTCTGCCCCTCAACTGATGTAGTCAGTTGGGTGATATAGCCATTGCCAGTGAAATCATCCATAATAATTGAGGTAATGCAATCTGTGGTGTACAAAGAAAGCATTCCAAACACCCTCTCAGAACTCATACTCAATAGGAAAATAAATAATTTATTTGATATTGGTTCACTGCCAGCATGTCTGAACAATCTTTACCACGGACTTGCAATAACGTTTGGTGACTTTATTTCCATCAGGTAAATAGTTGGATATTACTGATTACTTCATCTTTTCCTCAAAATCAAGTATGCTTGAGGTAATGATAGGGAAATGTACCAAACCAATATCCACAATGACTTTTTTTAGTTTAGGAAGAATTAAATCTCTCTTTCCAATACCCGTCATATTTATGACCAAAGATGTCAATATATCATGCTTTCAACTGAGTCAATTTTCTACTGAAATGAATGTACTGCTCTTCTTTCTCAATTCAATTCTGTGGAGCTAGTTATAATAAGTTACTAGTGTAACTACGTTACACTAGTTTTAGTCATTTCTCATCTAGAGATCCAAATCATATCCAGATGATTTATAAACCTGAGCCAGCTTCCCAACCAAAAACATAGTCTTAAAACCTACACAAAGGCCAAAGAGTACATATCTTGACACTTGTCAGTGAAGTTACACATATCTGTAAATCCTAAAAATAATCTGGATTACTCACTAAGTGTGTGTGTGGTTGGCAGAAGGGAGCTATGGAGTAGGACAACTGAGGAAAATTATTTCTACCTGCATTAACTTTAGAAACAGGCACTTGCCCATGCTGCCAGGCTCCCTTTTGCTTACTCAGGGAGCAGGTCTAGGCAATGGCATCCCTTGGTTCCAGCCTACATATTTCCCAGCAAGCCACCTACCCAGCAGGTGAATATCAGAAAAGCCTAGGATGTGAAGAAAGAGAGACTTCCCTGGTGGCGCAGTGGTTAAGAATCTGCCTGCCAATGCCGGGGACACAGGTTCTAATCCCTGGTCTAGGAAGATCCCACATGCCACAGAGCAACTAAGCCCGTGCACCACAACTACTGAAGCCCACATGCCTAGAGCCCGTGCTCCACAACAAGAGAAGTCACCACAATGAGAAGCCTGTGCACCGCAGCGAAGAGTAACTCCCCCTTGCCGCAACTAGAGAAGGCCTGCACACAGCAACAGAGACCCAACACAGCCAAAAATAAATAAATAAGTAATTTTATTTAAAACAAAAAAGAGTCTTGATCCTTTCAGTCCTAGCTCTTCTTCCAATGCAGTGGCCATACTGTTCCCAAACTGAACTTCCTTAGCCCATGGCCCTTGTAGGATTTCATCTTTCTAGAGCAGAAAGCCACTCAGGAAACTTACATGACCATTTCAACTTATGCCAGACTGTCTTATTGACCAAGAAATTGTTAAAATCTGCAAAGAAACTTCAGAAATTATTCAGTCAAGAGGCTGAAGCTATCTCTGTTAATCTGCTGAACTAATTCTATGTGGGCTTAGGATTTCCATGGAACAGGTAGGGTTTACAAGCATTCTTGACCTTTCTCTACCGCCCAATATTGTCCTGTCCATTTAAGTTAGACTGAAGCTGCACAGATTATATATATAAACAAAGATGCATATATGTATGTAAACAAAGTGTTTCTGACTAACTGAAGCCCTTATACTAGATTTGAGCCTTAAGATTACAGGGTGAGGTCCTAAAATTGATGAAAGTCTTTGTAAGAGTCTGGTCAAGGGCTGAGGAACAGAAGCAAATGGACATTGAGAGATGAGGCATAAGCAGGACAGTCTGGGGGCTTAGAGGTCAGTGTGGCAGAGGTGACCATTCACTGACTTCTGCAAAGAGACTGGCAACATTCTGGTGCCCCAAGCACTGGTATTTGGTGGGACATAAGAAGACAACATGCTTGGAGTGGACAATGCCATATCCACAATGGACGCTTGCAGCATAAAGAGTGGCAAGACTTCCTCAAGCAGCTTTTCGTGTGTGATCAGTAAAGGGGGCTGGAACCAATCCTCCTGGTGATCAAAACAATTCCATTTACAATGACATCAAAAAGAATAAGATACTTAGGAATAACCTAACTAAGGAGGTTAAAAACTTTTACACAGAACACAACTATACATTGCTATAAGAAATTAAAGATACAAATAAATGGAAAGATATCCTGTGTTCATGGATTAGAAGACTTAATATTAAGATGTCCATACTACTCAAAGCAACCTACAAATTCAATGTAATCCCTGTCAAAATCCCAACCACATTTCTTGCAGAAATTTAAACAATTAAATTCATGTGAAATCTCAAGGGACCCCAAATAGACAAAACAATTTTGAAGAAGAACAAAGTTGGAGACTCACACTTCCTGATTTGAAAATATATTACAAAGCTATGGTAGTCAAAACAGTGTGACAGTAGCATAAAGACAGAAGAAATGGACAAATAGAATAGAAAGCCCCAAAATAAACCCTTGCATACATGGTCAAATGATCTTCAACAAGGAAGCCAAGACCATTCCATAGGGAAAGGACAGACTTTTCAACAAATGCTGTTGGAAAAGCTGGATATCCACATATGAAAAAGACAAAATTGGAACCATATTTTACACCATATATCACAATTAACTTAAACAAATTAAAGACCTAAAATGCAAGACCTAAAACTGTAAAACTTCTAGAAGAAAACATGGGCACAGTTTTATGACATTGGATGTGGCAACAATTTCTTGTCTATGACATCAAAAGCACAGGCATCAAAAGCAAAAATAGACAAATGGGACTACATCAAACCTAAAAATTTTGTGCACCAAAGGACACAATCAACAGAGTGAAAAGGAAACCTAGGAAATGGAACAAAATATGTGCAAAACATATATCTGATAAGCGGTTAATATCCAGAATACACAGAGAACTCAAATAACTCGGCAACAAAAAATCAAATAGTCCTATATAAAAATAGGCAATGGACTTGAATAGATATTCCTCCAAGAATGGTATACAATTAACCAACAAGCATATGAAAATATGCTCAACATCACAAATCATTAAAGAAATGCAAATCAAAACCCCAATGAGATATTGCCTCATGCCTGTCAGAATGGCTATTATAAAAAAATAAAATAACAAGTGCTGGTAAAGATGTGGAGAAATTGGAACCCTTGTGCACTGTTAATGGAATTATAAAATGGTGCAACCAGTACGAAAAACAATATGAAACTTCACCAAAAAATTAAAAATAGAACTATTATATGATCTAGCAATCTCACTTCTGGATGTATATCTAAAAGAACTGAAAGCAGGGTCTCAAATAGATATTTGCACACCCATATTCATAGCAACACTATTCATAATAGTCAAGAGGTAGAAGCAAACCAAATGTCCATTGATGGATAAATGGATAAACAAAATGTGCTATATACAAAAATGGAATATTATTCAACCTTACAAAATGGAGAAAATCTTGTCACATGTTACAACATGGATGAACCTTGAAGACATTATGCTAAGAAAAATAAGTCAATTACAAAAAGACAAATACTGTATGATTCCACTTACATGAGGTATCTACAGTAGTCAAATTCATAGAAACAAAAAGGAGGATGATGGTTACCAGACCCTGGGGGAGGGAAAAAGGGAAGTTGTTTTTAATGGATATAGAGTTTCACATTTGCAAGATGAAAAAGTTCTGGACAACTGTTTTACAATAATATGAATACACTTAACATTATGAAACTTTACACTTAAAAATGATTATGATGGCAAATTTTGTGTTATATTTTATTTACCGCACTTCAAAAAAAACTGAAAAAATATACTGGTAGTCACTGTATTTGATGAACTAGTTTGTATGCACATGTGAGACACATCTTTCGTGGGGGGGGGGTCACAGAAATATCTGTGGGAACATTTTAAGGAACTGAATTAATGCCAGGAAAAGTTTCAAATATCATTTTGATTTGGAAATTAATATAAATGCATATTTATTTAATTATAAATAATTATAAGTATATTACACATAATATAATGTATATTAATGCATGTATAATACAAATATAAAGATGAGCCCATTTTGTCATTCCATGATAAGACCAGGATACATTTATTGACATTCCATGGTAGTTTTTACCCATAAGGATGACAAAGAACATTCCTTTCCACACTTTACAAATAACTTCAGAGATTTGGCCAGCTCTAAACATCACAACATGTGTCCCCAAATATTTGTATTACCTTGTGTATTATAGCTCCATGTTATCATTTTATATATATATATATTAATATATGTAAATATATATACCATAACTTCTCAACACTAAGGGAACAATTCGTGGTTTCAGAATAGACACAAATTATTCCTGATTGTAATTAATAATGTGATGGACTCAGAGGAGACAATAATTCATGAACCTGATTTGAAGAGGTGCCTTGGGGATTCTTTGGCACTAAAAGCAAGTCTACTCTATATCAATCCATCACAGCTGAGGAATAATATGTCATGAGATTGTTAGCAAGACCAAAAAGACAAGTCTCTTGAGGTATAATGGAAAAATTAAGTTGAATTTTATTTTAAAGCAAGTCATAAAATCTGCTTTTGGATCTGTCAAAGTGTATGACAAATCCATTTAAAACTTACCTATCAATCCAGTAGTTTTTATAACTAGCACCTTGATAAAAACCTCTACTCCCATTCCCACCCCACCCCCCAAAAATCCTAACTATTCACTATTGGGATGAAAGGTATGTTAGAATGAGAGAATTAGAATCAGGGAGACAGGAGAAGAGGTTGCTTCTTTAATCACATGGGATGACAAGGGTGTACTAAACCACTCGCCAGAGGTCAGTTCACTGAGCTCATATCAAAAGCACATCTTTATAAAAATTAATAATGTTCTACCTTTCCAGTTATCTGGTTGTTCCACTCCAGTGTATTTCATTGGTTCAAACCTTCTGATTTCACCTACCGCTCAGTGTCCAAGATAAACTCCACCCTTCGTGGTGAACTCCTTTGTTTACTGAAGCTCAGAAAAGCAGGATGGAAATGCATATTAGATAAGAATCTATGGTCCTTTTATGAAAAATACGGAACTATTCAACTTCAAAATATCTGTTCCTAAGATACCAGTAGGGACACTTGTAGTTCTAATATTGGATAAAAGTAGTTGGAAATAAACTGGAAAGGAGGAATTAGGCAGAAGAGAAAGAAGAGATAGAGTTTTATTTTATTTTGTTTTATAAGAATTTTGTTTGTTTGCTATGAGTAAGAGTTATTGAGACAATATCTACTAGCAACTAGAGATATATAAATAGAAGTTGAGAAAGAGCTTAGAGCTAAAAGTCTTGATTTGGAAGTCCTCAGCACAGGGGTTGCTTAAAGCCAACCCCTTATCAGAATGGATAAGATTTTCCTTTCTGAAGTAGAAAGAATAGAAAAATAGACTCAGAGGGCATCAACTGCACCTTGGGGAAGGCAGAGAGAGACGTAGAGGAAGGGGATAGCACGGTGGCACTGAAGGTAATGAAGTAGACAATGTTTCTCGTGATGGAAGAAGGTTCTGCTTTCACTTTCCTCATTTTTGAGGGCCAAGGAAGCATCATATAGTCGCACCAGTCCCTGAGGAGGACCTAGGAATGGAGTCCCAAGCTATCCATGGTCAAAAATTAATGAAGTGTGAGAAAAAAATATCTTTGCCCAAGACAGGAACCAAGTTGGGTCAGGGAAAATAAAAACTAGGAGAAGTTGTATGAGGGAGAACAACAAACCTAAATCTGAATCATGTCACAGGAAAAGGTCAAATGAGAAATAAAGATGACCCTTTGAACAAAATTACAGACACTGGGCAGACTGGGGTCCTGACTTCTCCAGAACCAAACATTACTTGGAAGGACTCAGGGATGCTCTACATTTCAGGTCTGACTAGCCGTTTGTGTGAACAGAGTTCTGAGGGCTTCACAGTATACCACACATAGTGGTTAAGAGCACCAGATATAGCATCATATAGACTTCCAGTCACATCCTGGATCTGTCACTTACAGCCCTGTGACTTTGGAATAATTACCTATTCTTTCTGAGACTCAGTTTCCTGATCTATAAAATGGAGATGGTAAGAGCGTATATGTCATAGGACTGTAGTAAGAACTTAATGAGATAATGTATGGGAAGCACTTAGCACAGTTCTAGCACATTAACAAATACTCAAGAAAGATATAAAATAGCCTAAGCCTTACTGATTACATTTTCCCACACTGAGGACCAAAATTCTTTCCAGTCGATTTGGGAGAAGCTATTGTAAATAAAGCTCTGTAACATGCTGAGCCATAACTTTCATTTTCCAATACTCATGTAGTGGCACACAAATGCACTGAATCCTAGGTTGGGGAAGACAACCTATTTTGCCTGGGCATCCTCTATAATAAGCAAAGAGGAACTACCTATCTTTTTTCTGGTAGGCTAGTGCTCTCCAGTGAAAAATGCAATGATAAATAGGGCATCTAAGAAGTTACAAATTTCCCCAGCAATGTTATTATAGCAATGTTATTACTCCAGAAAGCATGGGAGCCAAAATGAAAATCAGACCTGTCATGGCTAGTCACAAATTCTCAGAAGTAAGAAGGTAATTCTGGGACCCTAGACTTAAATTTGGACAGCAAATTTGCTTATATACTAGCTTTATGAAAGGATATGAGGAAGAATAATCCCACTCTACAAAAGGAGAAACAGAGGCTTAATGAGATTAGGTGGTATGCCCAAAGACACACAGTGTAGCTGGGTATTTGTAAAGCTTTCTAGAGACCTGGCATATTTTGAACACCTTGCTATGTTTGGAAGATCCTCTAAGTTGTATCTCATATCGAGGTAGAACCTAGAGAAATCACTACCCCAACCCCCTTAGAAGGTAACACATGGACATGTGTTCTAGACTCCATGTGTGACTAAGATTCAGAAGTAAGAAACTTTATAAAGGAGGAATTCATGATTCATTTCTGTGGGTGACAGAAAAGGTGTCCAGATTTGGGGGTCAGGAACAACTGGAAGGCCAAGTTTCTGGTGCAGAAGTGGCACTGGTGCTGGGGAAAGTGCCCGTGTGTTGCTGAG